CGATGATGTACTCCCTATCTCTATGGTGCTGGCCGGATGAGCCGAGAGGTGAGGCTACATCTGGGAGCTGTGCAAGTCTCTTTGTGTCGGTGTGCAGGGGACTCTGCCCATGGCTGCCACAGGATGTGGCTCCCACATGAAACCCTGGCTAAGGACCAGCTAATGACACACATGGCCAGAACTGAACCCAAATCTCTAGCCAAAATGGCTATATCACCTGCACTGCGCCATCTCTCGTGATTACCCTACAGCTGGTGGGGATCCCATCACTTCTGGCAGAGGATATCCTTTTCATGCCCAAATCAAGGATTGCCACATGGTAACATGATTCCCAGGCACTGAATGCCTTGGGAAATTTGGATCCTCTAACTCTTGCCTCTACAGTGGGCTCTGCTCAGCCTGGCAGTTGCCTCTGTCCTGCTGCAAGAACTGGATATCAAGAGCAACACCTTGCCCTTGTTCGTGCATGATTTCCCTCCCCACCCTTCTCACTTCATCTGAAATGATAATTCCTCTGACCAGGAATTAATGACCCTGATATTTTATTTCAAATGTCATTTTTGCAAAGGCATTAATCAGCTTAGTATGAGACTGGATTACATTTTAATTTTAATAGTGCTAAATTCTTGCTGTTTTTAAAATACATTTTCCTGCTCTTTAAATTTCAGCAGGGCAGTATCTCACTTAATTAGACTGTACCTTGCTGTAATCTCTCCATTGTGGAAATTTGACAGACAACAGCCATTATTAAGCCTCACCCGTGCACATTTACTTTAGTTCCATTGTCTGAATTAGGGATAATAGATGAGATTGGGCAGACAGAATCTCAGAGCGGTTTTATCTTCCATCGGGATGTGTGGAGACAATAGTTTCAAAGGCAGAGAGGAAGAATTAAATGACAAGTTCTTATTTGTAGTCAAATGGAGATTGAGATATATACCTGTCATTTGGGCTTCTGAGAATGTGCCACTAATGGTAAAGCAATTATTACAATTTCTTCAGTTGTGGGCTGCAGTTTTCACAAAATGTCTCCATAGCTTATATCTGTAATTAACAGTTCCTTTTTCCTGAGGAGCTTTGCATACTTCAAAATCCTTGCATGCTTACACTACATTTATTCCACCTTTTGAGATGCTTTTTACTTAAAATCAATTACAAGTAAGGTGTTTATTCAAAGCTCCAAACAGAATTAAAATCAAATTTAAAGGTTACACCATGAAATGGACTCTTTCCCACCCTTTCCATCTGTTATTTTATTACCAGGTTTGATTACAGCAATCAGCACAGTGGATTGCACCCACTGTACAAGTTTAGCATCAGCGTTTCTTGCCTTCTTCTCAACACCTCCTTTTTCAGAAGGAAAATGTGAGCAAACTCCTATTTTTTGCTAATACCTCATTTCTTGGGCCTTGGCTGACAATAAGAGCCTTTTTTCCATTCAACATAGTAAGTTTTCTGGGCATAATAAATGGTAATTTACATACAATATATCACAATTTCACATATGTACACTATTTAACATAGGTACACACCCCAGTGTCATCCTACGTTATACATTACACCTGCATATACTTTATACATACGTGTACATATCTACATAGTTACTTTTTTTCAGAGACATGATTTGGTTAGAAGTAAGTAAAATGACAATGGAGCCAGATGTAGAAATAAGCAGAGCTGACATTTTCTCTCTTCAGAGTTGGACAGGGTTGTCTGGAGAAGGCATATTCATCAGTGACCCCAATCTCCTCTGCTCAAATCTCCTGTGCATTTCTGAAAATCCTGTCCTTCAGTAGGTTCATTGTCCAGATGCTTAGTGCTTCACAGAATTGGGTTGTATCCATCAAACAGTACTCAGAGCCTAGCTTCAGGCACTATTTCTCAAAACATTGGTTGGATCTTGCAACTGGAAGTTAGACAATGCTCATGGAGTCTCTTGTAATCCAGGGGAAATCAAGGGTGAAATATATTGTCAATCTACACTTCAAATATTCATTCTACCTCCATGTCTAGCCACTCTCCTCTTCATAAGCAGAAGAATACAACTCCTAATGCTGCCTGAAGAAGTATCAGCTTTATTTGTATCTACGTTTTCCATCTGTTGTTTTAATGAATAATAAGTGTAAGTGGTGCCTAAGTTTGAGTATGGATTTTTTTTTTTGCTTTAATGGAAAAACACCCTCTTGATGGTTTTATAGGCTGTATAATTGTGTCTGGTAGAAACAGACATCAATCTCTATCAGTTATGTACACATGCAAATAAAATAACAGTAAGGTATCCTCTCCAAAAGATGCTTATTAGACATTTAACTACAGGCAATGTTCAAACGAAGATGACAGATCAAAAGGACATCTTTGTCATAACTTCTAAGGGAACAGGAGGTGTCATAAAAACAAATGGAAAAGTAAAGCACTAGGACTTCCTGGTTTTTGTATGCAAGGAGGCATTATTCATTGACAGCACTCACTTTTTGGCTGTTTGGCTACATTTATCCCTGGTTTAATATCATTATAATGCAGGGGAGTTTTAATAGCATTATAAGGCAGGGGAGAAACCTGCTTTCTTCCACCTAAACTGATTCACAGGATGCATTTGAACAACTTGCTGGTAACTAAGACAAAATCAGATTCCCAGTGGGTGACCTGCTCAGAAATCATAACCATGCCCCACACATGTGCTGGTTGAGCAAGTTAAGCCCCTTGGCAGCTTATGAGGTAGGTAAATCTTACCGCTCCTCACTTTCTAGATGGAGGAGATGAGGCACTGAGAGGTTAAATGGCACATGCCATGGGCAATGCAGGAAGACTGGCAAAACAGGAGGGCACAGGAACCAAGTTTCCCACTCCCTGTGCTCTCTGGTGACTTCATGGTGCAGTTCTGCTGCCTTTTCCCAGCAAAAGTCCCTTTGCTGCACTGTCCTGCTGCCAGCTGGGGCATTGGTTCCTGTTTTGCACTCAAAACTGCTAATGCTGAAGAATGCACTGCTGTGTCCAAACTTTAACCTCTCAAAAAAAGGAGTGGTCTATTTCTTTAATATTTTTTGCATCTTTCTTGTAGTAATCTCCACTTGTCAATGTGAGAAGTAGCAAGGTTTCAGCTCCAGAAGTGATGGGTGGTAAGTGCACTGACCTGCTGTATCAGGAGACAAGTAGCAGGCTGGGGTACAGCACAATCCATGCTCTCAGACACTTCCATGTCCTTCCATGGCTCCTCTTCTTGCCAGCAATTTCAGGGATGTGTTTTCTCACTTTCGTGACCAGACAGAACCCCATTTATGTCAGTTATTAACAGGGCTGACAAAAAGGGAACATGGTTGTGAATTTTAGTTTCTCTCATTAGTTTCATTTTCAGTAAATCAGTGCCACCATCAGCTTGACTTAGGCAGTAATATTTGAGGGAAAACCCGGGTTTTGTTGACAGTCAACAATGTTGTTGACAATTCTCTGCCACTTTTCACATCCCTTGAGATTTAGGACATAAGAATAACTGCTAGGGTGAGCAAAAAATTTCACATGCTGACAAATAGTTATGGCTGCATTGGTATTTTTGTTTGCTTTTTCTTTATTCTAACCTCAGTCCTGGCTCTTCACGTTTCAAATTCTGCCCCTACTGCTCAGTTTCAGCATGGTAAACAAATATTTTGATGTACCTAATCTCCAACACAGCCAAAAAGTCCTTCTGTTTTCTAAAACTAAGGAGCACACAAACCTGAGCATTGTTGTCTTGTTGCTATAATATTTCTACATTTGGGTTTTGCAGGCAGCATTGTTAGCAAAGGAAGGGGAGATATCACAGGATGAGAAAAGAACTGCCAAGCACATAAGCTTGTTACAATGCTTTGCAGCAGCTTCAAAGGCCTTACATCGACCTTGGACCCCACAATATTATCCTTGGCCATTTAATCTCTGCCATACCTCTGTTTCTGCAGAGAGAGGTTCTGGCAGACACATCTCCCTTTTGATCCCAAATGCCTGAACGCATTCAGAAGAAGGACATTGTGTTGACTGGGAGAGGCACATGGGCATGTACAGTTTGTCTGTGAGCTGCACTTTCCTCACAGGAAAACCTTTGAAAGCCATGTGTGCTGCTCTCAACACTGTTTTCCGTTTCTTGGGAGGGAATGTGAAGGTCCAAGTCCCAGGGGCACTGCCCATTCACCACGTGTGTGAATGCTACAGATCAGTTCCCCTTCTCGTTTTAGAGAGTAGGTGCTACCTATCATGCTCTGTGCTCCATTGATATGGAGAAAAATGTGCCCAAACCTCCCCGCTTTCATTACCCAGGTACCCTGGGAGCCATCTTCTGTGAGTCTGTGGGCTTCTTAGCTCTCCTTCATCATCGCTCCTTACTTAAAATCTTACCACTGACACAAACATACCACCTGCACTCTGTAACCAGTCCAGCTGACCTTGGACAGTCAACTGCCCTAATAGTGTTGATGAAGGTCCTATCCAGAGAAAGCAGAATTTGGACCCTGAAAGGAGGCGTTCTTCATAAAACAATTGAAAAAACTACGATGCTAATATGCCAAAGAAAAATAAAATAATTTGCTCAAAAGCAGAGATTTTAAAAGGAAAGGTTCATTCAGTTCCCTTACAGGAGATGCACTGTCCAGACCTCCCCTTGCAATTTGCATTTATCTAATTCCTTACAGCTCACATGAGCACTGTTTCTAGTTGTCCATTGTACAGCAGGCACCACCAGCATGGCCAGCACCTTTTCGGTGTAAGGTGAGCACATATTTTCAAGTATGAGAAATGGCATGTGTCTTAAAGCAAACAGCAGCTGGGGTGTGGGTTGAAAATCAACCAGCACAGCAGGTTCCTCCATGATGCCTCCATGTGCATGGAGTTGCCTACTGGAGTCCTCCCCTTTGCCCTTCGAAGAAGCAATAAAAGAATCAGTTTTCTGGCTTTGCATCCAGATTTGACTGAAAAAGTACCAACAAAAGAGAGTTTTGTAAATGTGTTCTGAATCAGTCACTGCTGTGCCAGCATGCTTAGCTAAAGACAGACCAATATATCAAATTAAAAAATATATAGGTGCCTGGGAATATTAATCTTGAGTATTTATCAATTGCATGAGTGTTCTGGATGATGCGCAAGCCCACATGACCCTTCAGGCCTCTCTTCCTTGATGAATTAGATTCATTGCTCATAGCCAAATGCACAACTATCTTTTCTTGTTTTTCTTCTTCTGGTACCATCTGGTTTCTTGTATATCCTGCCAGGCTGTTGGCATCAGATTCACTGCAGTTTCCATCCAGCATCATAGTTTTCGAGTGAGGTATTCCGCACGAACATGAAAACTAGAAGCATAAACAAGAAATATGGTTGAACACTGGAAGAACACATGAGAAACAGAAATTATGGCTTTCTGTTAACAGACAGCTTGTAAACAGTTGAGCTTGAAATTTTAGTTGAGATGTTTTTTCCTCTTTGAACAAAAAAGTCACTTTGGAATTTTGCTTGTGTTCTGGAAGTAAGAAATAGGGTTTAGCTCCGCTGCTTGGACAAGCAAATTCAGAAAAGATTAAAAAAATGCTTAGCAGACATTTAATCTAAGCAAAAAGTTTTCTTAGCTATCTCTTGTTCAGCCTTCCTGTCTTCAGATCCCCTATTTTTCAGTCCTGATGTTTATAAATATTCAAGGACAAGATGCACTTTTATCTGTAGAAATGGCTTATCCAGTATATGTTATGGAAAAAAAAGGCCCAAGTTCTGGTTTCACAGATACACGTTTTCTTTGTAAATCTGATTTTAAACCAAGGAGATGACCTGCTAAAAGCCTGATGTAAAATCCCCACTCTGTTGAAGTTAATGTCAAAACTTGCATTGACTTTAGCAGCATACATCCCACAAGTTTTTTAGACTGCAGGTAGAATTTTGAATGGCAAATGCCATCTTCTACTATTCAAAATCTGAAGTTTTCTTGTTCCAGCAATATGGATGATGTATTTGTATGCAATGAAAATGGACTCCCAAACCTTTCTGCTAGGAGATCCTGCCTTGATTCCCCATAGACCAATTTCCTTACCCAGTAATACTTTGCACCCAATTCCCTCCTCCACCAACTTTGAACTCTGGTTTTTCCAAAGACTTGTTTTCAAGGATGTGTTCAGCTAAAATAATTAAATATATATATGTAGAAATTTATATATCAGAAGATATAAATATGTATATATTTATCAATATGGAATATTCAGGATGCCACTGAAAAACTCTGTCAACATAAAGACCAGATCAGTAACAAGGGAAAAAAGGAATAGATTGATGAAAAGAAGTTTTTCTCACCCTCTTCTGGAGTTTCCTCTCCTTCCTCTCTTGCACCGTCGTCAGGTAATTCACAGCTGCATATTCCAACACCGAGAGGAAGACAAACACAAAACTGACCCACAGGTAAATGTCCACGGCTTTGATGTAGGAAACACGAGGCATGGAAGCATTCACCCCAGTGATGATCGTGGACATGGTCAGCACAGTGGTTATCCCTGGACAGAACCAAGAGAAATAAATGTTATTGACTGATACAGTATATAAGGCTTTTCGTCTCTAGAAAAAAAACCCAGAAATTATGGTTTACATGACGATCTAAAATATATTCAATATCAAATAAATATGTGTAACGTATCTCTTTTGCCAATGCAGAACTGTTCCACTACCTACACTTCTGTGCTCATGATGGGTTGAGTTTTGAGGAGCAATGATTTCTCTAGGAACAGCATTTAACTCTCTCCTTAATCTCCAGGGTTTATGAGACAGTGCTGTTAAAACACATTTTTAACACACCTAACCCTAAGGTCAGGTCTGCTAAGACCAGTGGTGACAGGGACCCCTGTTTCCCAGCTGTACCATTCTGTGTTACAGGTGCTGCCAGGAAGAAAATTAGTATTGACTTTCAGTCACAGCTAAAGAGGACTTGATCTAAATCACTGATTTTAAATAGGACAGGCAATAAGGATAAAATATTTTGCATGAAGCCATGCAAAAGAAAAGTGTTATGCTTTTACCTCTAGAAATATTTGTCTACAGTTAAAGTTGTGGAAATCAAAACATTTTGAACAACCACCATGGTATTATATAGATAAATGTGTGCATGTGTATGTGTTTATAATTAAATATATGTGTTTATATATGTGTGAGTATGTATATATCTTCACACATGTGTATGTGTATATATATTTAGACAGGTATACGTATAATCCTGCAAAATAATATATCCTTTGGATTGTCATGGAGAGAAGAATATTGACACATTCCCAAAGCCACTTAAACAGGGAAAACAGTCAAAAAGCATTCATAGCTACTTCAGCCATTTCAAAACAGTGACTGCTGTGAACATAGCTAATGTTGTTCACTTTTTATAAGGATACAATTTTTTTAAAAAAATTGAAACCAAACACATTTCTTTCAGTGGAGCAGACTTCCAGCTCCCTCTTCTCATCTGTTTGCTCTAGTGCATAGCTCTCTAAGTGAAATGAACTTATGAGCTGGAATACTGTGTTTATGCTTTCATATTAACATATTAATATTCAGAGAGTTTTCCTACTATATTTTTGCCTCCTTTAACCTATGCATGGAGTGATAAACAAATCAGCTCTTTTTTATGTTCAGCTGAAAGAATTTCCTCCAGTCCTGACATGGACAAAGCTCTGACTGTTGAGTTTTAGATATCCAGAGAGGCAGATTGGTGTGTGCAGGATTTCAAGCAGCTTCTTCTTTGCTTTTCCACTCCTTCAAATGAGAGACCTCACTACCCCAGACACATTGGGTTTTCAGTGCAGGACACCCTTGGGAAAGGAGAAACCCAACATCTGCCTCACCTCAGGGTTAGTGGCCTCTCATCCTCAGGCACTGTAGATGAGAGAGGAAAGCTATGTTCCTTTCACTGCCTCACTGTTGTCTGAGGCCTGGAGTTACTGAGGTGCCTGAGCTTCCCCAGGGGCACACCAGATGGAACAACATGTTTGAAGGCCAGGCTGGATGTGGCTTTGAGCAACCTTGTCTACTGGAAGGTGTTCCTGCCCATGGCAGGGTGGTTGGGATTATGTATCTTTAAGATCTCTTCAAACCCAAACCATTCTATGATTTCATAATTCTGTGATACCAAAGTACACAGGTGCTGATAGGGCTAGATCCCTTGCTGGTGCCTTTCTTTCCCAACTTTGTTAAGATGTGCCACATTGCCACCTTCCAGGCAGTTTGGAAAAAAACACTGGCCACAGCATCGGTGTTGGCTGGTTGGGAAGACACATAGCTGGGCTGGGATATTCACTGTGGCAACTGGGACATGGCAGGATCCTGCTCTTGAAAGGCACTCATGAAAATTGTAACAGAAGCCTTTAAAGCCCTGTAGGTGCCTGAACTCCTGTGAAACTCTACTGTCACCAATGGGAATGTGTGTCTTAGAACTGCAGGGCGGGACAACAGGGAAAAACTCTCAATTCATCAGCTCATAAATACTGAAACTTCTCTGCTCAACTGTAGTTTTAAGACCATAGCCCTTTTTGTCCTGAGCAAAGTGTAGGTCAGGAAGACTGCTTAATGAGGAAGGACTTAAGACAAACTGCAAGTTTTACATTACATTAATCATCAGGTAAAACCAACATTTGATTGCCCAGTCCTGCCAAAACTTTCGCGTTCAAAGATTTTCCCACAGTCATGGCTTTTTGCAATTGTTCTCACCCAAAGAGACTCTGGCAGGAACTGCTCGGTGATCAATCCAGAAGGACACCCAGGACAACATGACCATGAGGGTAGCAGGGAAGTAAGTTTGGAGCAAGAAGAAGAAGATGTGTCGACGTAAAGTGAAGTTAATGTAGAGTCGATTGTACCAACCTTTGAGAGAGGAGGAAACCCAGAATCAGTGGAAAGAGCCTTGACAGTAGGCACAGAGAGGTAAGATCTTTCTTTTGCTATTTTAATTCTAAAGAGTAGTGAAAAAAGAAACTGAGCTTACAAAACATGTGTTGTCCAGACCGTGGAGACTACATTTCAGCAACATAATCCCAAGAGCCCTCTCACAGGCAGTTAATACAGCATTAGTTTTAGCAGTAGTATTAAATCAGAAAAGATCAATACCTGTGCTACTGTAGAAAGCCAGTCTTGATGTAGTGTGGAATTTTTGTATCAAAAACTGAGACAAAGAAATCTTTTCATCAGTTTTCAGAGATTCATTCCCATTTTTCCAGTACAGCATCAGATCTTCATCAGTGTAAGCATCTTAGGGAAAAAAGAAACATGATGTGAAGTGACTTTAGCTTGGAGGTTTGACAAAAGCTAACAGATGCAGTCTTTGGCATGAAGTAATGCCACAAATAACTTTGCTAACAGCACTGAGTTAAAAAGATCGCATGATATAATATATCATGACAAAAATAAAAATTTAGGTCATCCTGATTCAAGGAAACACATCCTCGTTTTACTCTACACTGATGGAATGACAGCTGGAATGGCACTCTTGCTAACTGATAAGAATAGATCAAGAAATAATCATGGGTAAAGCACTTGAATTCAGAGGAAGGAGGAAACGCAGACACCTCACACACAAACACTCAAACTATCTTATAATGATAAAAGCAAAAAGGATAGGATCTGAAGCAAAAGTCTAGAAATATTTTAAAAGTATATATGAAAAACAGAATTTGTTATCACACTAGGTATCAGGAATGGGGAATGAGAAATGGGTTATCAAGATGGTCAGGGGCTGGAGCACACAGCATAAGAGGCTGGGGGAACGGGGTTCGTTCAGCTGGAAGAAGAGCAGTCTGTGGTGGGGTCCAGATGCTGCCCTGTTGAGGGTCATAAAGAAGATGGCAGTAGGTTTTTCTCAGACTCTTCATCAAGATAGAGAATGAAAGGACAAGAGGCAAAGGATGCAAGTTACAGCAAGGGGTTGTTTTCAAGCAGGTAAAAGTAAATTTTTCAGGATGAGGGCTGTCAAATATTTGAACAAGTTGCACAGAAAAGTTGTGGAGCCTGCTTTACCTTGTTCAAAACCCAAATGGACACAGCCCTGAGCAACCCACTATAAAGATCTCCCTGCTCTCAACAGGGAGCAGCTGAACTCAAGGAGCAGCTGACCTCAACATCAATGTCAATTACCCTGTGATTCTGCTGTTTGTAGAGGAATGTTTCAGTTAAACAGCTGGGAGGACCTCAAAACATCTAGATGTTAGTCTACACTGGAGAAAGTTTACAGAACAGCCACGAAAATTTTACTGTTCACATTAAGTTCTCCACAGAACAAATCCTTCCCAAAGAAGCTTAGCCCAGGTCACAGTGTTTGCAGGATCAGGATTATGTCATAGGATGTTTTCCTTGCAAATTCCCCTGTCTAGCAGCATAAGGACTAGACATACAACACTGTTGAGTCAATAGAAAGTCTTTTAGTAACTCTGGTGAACTATCTTTTCAGGCCCTGAAATAAAAAGTATTCTGAAATGTGTCCAGTGCAATGCTTGTGCAGCCAGCCATGAAGCACGTGTAGCAAGAAACACAGATACAACATACAGCTTTCCAGCTCCAGAGAACATGTCTGAGAGTCCAGGGGGAAGCAGCTGAAGTCCATGTTGCACATTGCTGTCACTGTGACCCTAGAAGTTGAAAATGAGAAGAAAAGTTGGTTTCTGTGAGGAGCAATCAAGCAGAATGTTATTGCAGATAATTATTCCGCAGCTTTAAAGCCAGAAATTATGCATGATGTTAGCATAAAATCCCCAGGAAAATTACCAATTATCCAAGTTCAAACGAGCTGGATTATACACAGAAACTCCAAAGGAAGATGTAATTTCAATATCTACCAAGGAACTAAAACACTATCTTGAACATTACAGTTATACTAATGTCAGTACAGTCATTCTACTGTATTTTACAGCCAAGTATTTATCTACAAAGCAACAACATAAAATAACTTCACCATTTACATTTGAAGTTTCTCTCACGTACAGCTCAATTAAGGTTTCCTCATTTTCCCCATTGCTCAGTTCCCTCCATAGTCACCCCAAGAATGATCCAAGTCTGAGGAACATGACCATCCTTATTGCAAGCCACAGAATTGCTCCACTACATATATTTTTAAAGAAAAAGCAGTTTCTTTTCTGTTCTCAATAAAATTATTTTAATCTGAGGGGTGTATTCCTGGGCCAGGGGACGTAAAATGGATGCAGCTTATTTTCAAGAAGTGAGATTTGCCTCTGTTAAGTTTAAGTCTAAGCTAAAGAGCTGCAGCAATCACAGCTCCAGTCTTTAAATTAGTCCAGTTGTGCACATTGTTACATAAGAAATTTTCCAGTGGGTCAGTGAACTTTCTCTTGCAGACGGATTTGCAGTGGAGCTCTCAATTTAGTAGGCTCAAATCAGCTGTGACTCATCGTTTCAGAAGCCAACTTACGTTAGCTGTGACCATTTCCTAGATTTATTGCAGACGTTGATAAAGAACTTTTCTTCTGTTGCAGGGATTTAGATGCAAATCCTACCCTGATCTACACACTCATCACCTGAAAAGCTCACACTGTTCATTTTGACCATAAAACTAGAGCAAATTTTTGCCTTACGTGCAAAATTTAAAGAATATTTTTGGGGATGTGCTCCAGAAGGTCTATTGAGGCAATGACCTCCCCTAATTGTGTGTAGCATTTAAGCATTGTGTAACTCAGTCGCATTATTTTCTTTCTTTCTGTTATTTTCTTTCCTCAGCATCACCTGAACTATGCACAACCTGTGGTCAATAACAATTCATTAGCCAATGACAGCACAGAAAATCAGCTCATCAGTAACATATTCCTCAATTAGAGTGAAGTCTTTAGGTGCCCATGAAAGCCCAAGGCTGAAATGAGGAATGAAATGTGTCTCAGCCCAGTATCAACCCCTTGCAGATATCTCAAGACATCTGAGGGCATTTCCAGTATGACCAGGCACCCATGTTTTGTCAGCCAGATCTCATTCTGTGTCCTAAACACTACCAGGCCCAAATGCCATGAAGATTCTCATTCTTCTTTGTTTTATGTATCAGATTATCCATTTAACTCTTGTGCAGTCAGCTGTGGTTAACTCACAGTCTTCTCTCTTGTGGATAACATTAAAAATTCACATCACCTCCTTGACAGATCACAGAAAATTTTGAAAGTAAATACTCTGCATGTGTGCAAATGAGGAGACCTGAACAGAACCAATGTTTGCCATTAAAAATACTTGTTCATTCATTCTGGTTGTTGAACACTGCTAATAAGTGGATTGCTCCTGGCTTTAGAACATAAGAACTGTGGGGTGTGAGCAATGGAAACAGATACTCAGTTACACAGAGCAACAGCTGTCAGGAAGGTCCCTACCCTCCTGCTGCTCTTCTCCCCTCAGTGCTGACCCAATCTTTCATCTAACCTCATTCTTTATTTTTCTTTCTGCTTCTTGTCTCTCCAGCTATATGGCACCTTCATCCTCATCCAGTTCCAAAAAAATACACAGTGTCTTTAGGTGCTTAGTTTAGGTGTGGGTAATCAGACCTCCCACGCAATAAATGGATTTATTAAATGGGTTCATAACAGGGAAAGTGTTCTTAAGTGTTTGATCAAGTTGGGACTTTCATCATTAAATCAGGCAAAATGAAGTAGCCATATGATGCATTTCTTTCTTACACACACGCATATATTTCTTTGTGATTTTACAAATTTGTCCAGGGCTTTTAAAATAAATTCAGTAGAATTGTATTTGGACCATGAAACTTTGCTTTAGAGTGAACTTTGGAACCCCCTAGTTCTGTGGGATATTGTCTTACTTGGGACAATATTGTCCTACTTGGGACAATATTGCCCACTATGCTTATTCTTCAAAGAGAAAGAGCATCCTGAATAAAACTTTATAGAAAACCTTTCCTAGTTTTTGAGAACCATTTTGCCATATCTGAAGTGAGTAAGTTCCAGAAAAATCCTAGAACAGAAATCCTTGGCTACAAAACATTCCAAGGTCTCTGTACACTGAGAGCATGTTTTCTGCCCTGGGGAAATATCCTTTTGTTTGGGCTCTTCAACTTTTCTCCTCTGGAAGTGTATTTTTCTCCACTTTTCTTTTTGCCTTCTTCTGAAGTAAATGAAATCTGCTGGGATGGTGATGTGAGCAGCCGTAAAGGTGGCCTGGTTAGAAGGGGAAACTACTGAGCAGAAAAGCTGCCTTCTGAAAAATATTGACAGAGAAAGGCCTGCCAGCCTGGCAGGCAGACACATCCTTGAGAAGCACAGCTGGCCTCTTTGAAATGCAGACAGGGTACCTAGAAACTGGAGACATCCTGGAATACCATCAACAACTGCAAAAAGAAAGGGATTTAAAAGGCAATTTATTGTCTGGAAAATAAAAATTTTTCTGAAAGAACAGAAAACATCATTATCTATTATTCATCATAGGTAAAAAATAGAAATTACCAGCACCTATCGGCTGCTCAAAGTGATAGTGTCCTACACCCTCTTATATCTCTGGATATAAGAAGGACATGACTTCTACCCAAAATGAAGCCTTATTCTCTGAGAACTTTCCATGCTGCATGTACTTTTCCATTCCTAAACAGGTTAAATTCACTGTATGAACTTTGTACCAGCTTTTGGACTCTCACTGGGGGTGGCTGGCTGACTCCAGACCCTATGACTCAGAGTATCTCTGAAGTGCCACTATGTTGTCTCATTGGATCTCTCTGGGCCCACTTTGGAGGCTGTTTCAGTTTGTCCTTCATTCATAGGATGATTTGGTTCACCTGATGATGGAATCACTTGATATCATTATTATGCATTCATACAAGCAGTCTATCCTAAGTGTACCTGCTGGTATACTGTTGAAGAGTTGCTCCACTAATAATAAGTAACCAGTGAAAGCATATACCTAGTTAGTTATATCTGTTATTGGCTGTTGCCACATGATTTATGGACACTAAATTACTGATTGTTAACAGTAATTTGAAATAGCTTGATATGTATATTAATATTCACTTTATTCATCATAGGTAGTGGTGATTTTGTGGTAGTTTACTTGCTAGTGGTGACTTTTGTGGTATTTTTGGTAATCTGTAATAAGGTAGAGAAGTTTAGAGGATTAAGCCTCCATGTCCTTGTGTATTACAGAATTGTGCAAACCCACCGTCACGATCTGCGTACACCCACAGGATGGGTAACCCTCCAGGTCATGACAGACGTGCCTCAGGATTCTTCCAGCCAACAAATCTACTAGAAAACCTGACTGCCTTTAATACTGCCATTTTAGCATCAATAAATTTAAACCTTTACATCAACACAAAAACACCACCACAACAACAAAAAAACATTTCTAGACAAACAGGAAGAAAAATAGGATAATTATAGAGGTCACCATCTGGTATATCAGCAGCTTCCAGTTTAATCACAGACTGACCCTGGGATGAACATTCCTGCTTGACTAAGCCCTCCACTGACTGCAAAGAGTTGAGGGCATGCTTCCCCTGGGGAGGAGGTTATCCTGTTACTCCCCAAAGCATGGGTTCTTTCAGTTTCCTGCAAAGCATTTTGCACTGCACTTTCTGGAAACAGGGCTCTGCATCTGCAGTGTGAGTAGCAGGATTGGCAGTAGCAGTCCTAGTGATCACCAAAGTCAAGCCAAGAGCAAAACTGACAGCAAAGCCCCAGGGGATGCTCGGGAGCAGTAGGGCTGCACTGTTACCTCATGCTGTAGAGGACATGACCATCAGGGAACACTCGCAGCATGATGTTGTCTGTGGTGGTATCATGAATGAAGGACCTCTTGGAATGCACAAAGAAGACATCAGGGACCCAGATCTTCTTCACCAGCCTGCCGTCAAAGGTCATGCTCTTGTTGTTGGTGCTGGGAAAGGAGAGACGCTCATCCTTCCAGTAGTGCCTTAAGTATAAGGTCATAGTGAAATCCTTCACAAAAAATGAAGAGAACCAGAGAGGGGTCTGTCAATGCTGCACTCTACAACTGGGACACACCAGAAAGAAAACTCACTCCTACCAGGTAGATAAAATCTCTCCACTCTCAACTCCTGATTCTTTCCTAGGCCAATGATCTCTGTGAATAGATTTTTCTGAAAAAAATAATTTCAGCCAAAACAAAGCATAAACAACCAATGAATGTATTACAGTACCCAGTAATGTTCAGTCACAAAAGGGATATAAATATGCCCCAAGAGAAGCAATGCCCCAGAGAAACAACTCTTCAACCCTGGCAAAATTATCTTGCAGGACTACAGTATCAATATCATGATCTAGAGGAAAAATTGTTAAAGTTAGCTTAATGATGAGGCTAAACATTAAGTAATGTTTAGAAGAACTAAATTGTTGCAAACAGCAACCAAGTGACTACCATAAAAGTGTATAAATAAAGTTCCCTTTTTAAGCTTGTTGAGGGGGCAGGAGCTTCAGTAACATAAAGAAAAACATCTGTTTGTTGATTCCAACCTGGCAGCTGTTGCTTTCAGAGCTGAATCTACTCTCTCATTCTGAGATCAAATACACTTCTTTTCTTTATATTCACAATCAAATGAGGGGTTATGGGAGCTGCCAAGCCTGAAAAGGCAACAACACAGGCCAGGACCTCTTTCTAACTGCGCAGCAACCGCTTTCTAAAAACAAAACCAAACAATTAGTTTGGTGAAAAACGGTAACAAACAATCCCCCCTGACTCTCCGCTTCAAAGGGCTGTCTGGTAATAGCCTTGCATTGCCAATAGGTTTTTCATTAGTTTGCAAAGAAGGCTCTAGTGCCAGTCCTCATCTTGCTGCCCTGTATGGGACAGAGCTGGCCAGACACCTCCCTCTCTGACCGTGGCAGAGACCTGCCAGGGAGACACTTCTGCTCATCCACCTGCAGGTCCCCATCTTAGGCTGGTCCCAGGCTCCACTACCACTCCTCCCAGGGATACTGCCAGCTTCTGTTCCCTACTGGACACTGGCCACCTTCCCCTTACAACTACAGTCACAAAGAAATACTTCCAGCAACTGCTGCTGCTGACAGGCTTAGGTTGCAACCTGATTGGACAAGTCACCCTCGGGGAGGGACATCAAGCTCATCGGCTTGACTAGAGCTGGGAAAAAGGAAATAAAGGAAGAGGCACAACTGTTGCTTTCTTAGGAGTCAGTGCAAGTTACAGCAGAAGTCAAAAAAGGGGTAAAAAAGAGCCTGGATATTCAGGGTCACCATTCCCTTGGCCATGACATGAGATGGAGGGACATGGGGCTCCAGGTGAGGAGGACCATTGTTGTAGTTTAACCCCAGCAAGCATCTAGGTACCACACGGACACCTGCTCACTCCTCCTTCCCCCAGTCCCCAGCCAATGGGATGGGGAAGAGAATCAGAAAAAGTTGGGTTGAGATAAGAACAGTTTAATAATTGAAATAAAGTAAATAATAATAGTAAGATTAATGAAAAGGGTCATAAAAAGAGAGAGGGACAAAACTCCAGAAAACACAAGTGATGCACAATACAGTTACTGACCAATTCCCAGCCTGTCCCCCAGCAGCAATCAGCCCTCCCAGCCAACTCCTGCCAATTTATATACTGGGCATGACCTTCTATGGTATGGAATATCTCTTGGGCCGGTTCAGGTCAGCTGTCCTGGCCATGTCCCTTCCTGTCTTTCCATGCTCCTCCTCACTGGCGGAGCATGAGACACTGAAAAGTCCTTGACTTAGGGTAAGCACTACTTAGCCACAACCAAAACACTGTGTTATCAGTATTATTCTCATACTAAATCCAAAACACAGCACTGTACCAGCTACTAAGAAGAAAATTAGCTCTATCCCAGCCAAAACCAGGACAGCCAGGCAGCTGGAGGTTGCGGCTGCAAAATGCCTCTGGGCAGCTCCATCATCAGAGCACAGGGGAACAGGGAACGATGTGACATCGACCACAGCAAGGCTTACAGCCTCCACAGAGGAGGTGGAAGAGATTGCCTGTAGGGACAACATGGGAAGGGTCACACCATATTCCAGGTCACCCCTTTCCCTGTCCTACCAGGCAGGAGCTTCTTCTCTCTCACCCTCACCCCCTTTCTCTCTCCAAACAGGCCAACACAATGGTCAACTCTCCTCTCTCTCCAATGGTCAACACATAGCACACCAAATGCTACAAACACAATGTCAAAGTGACAACTAAGTATAAAATCTAAATAAAGGAAGTTTTTCACGGCATGAGTCAAATGAGGCAGTTAGTTGACAGCTTGTTCCTTTCTGACCAGCACACATGCTATTTACAAGCAAAAAAAAGAGGGTTATTTCAGCACTCACAAGTAGGAAAATCCTTTAGGAAACAAGTTTTTACAAGAAACTGAGAGAAGGGTAGTACCTGCCAGAGGCACAGCAAATGAGCATACACAAGTACCTCGATTTTGACAGCACATTTCATATTTGTGCTGTGCTCCAGGCAGCCCCAAGAGCGTGCCCTGTCAATGCACACAGTAGCAGCCCATCCATGCCAACCAGACAGGCACCAATTTTAAACCCTTGTGCTTTAAACATCTCCTGGCTGCTCTCACTGACATGCACTGTCTTGCAGGTATGATGGGTTGCGGCTCCTGACGCTTCTGTCTGGTGCTTCTTTGGAGCATCAGGTGCCTGCTCAAGCAGTGAGCATGTAAAGACTGCCCAGCTGACAGTACCTGATTTCTGGGCCCACTAACCCTTCAGAGCAGTCTGAAATAAGCCCTGCCTGCAGCCTTGCCCTGCCTGCAACTGGCAGCCAAGGAGGGCACCCTGCTGCAGGCACAGGCAGCCCCGGTCCCCTGGCCATGCTAACAGCTTACTGCCCGCTCTCCTCTCTGCAAACACCCACGCCAGGACAGTCTGTTGGAGAAACAAACCAATGAAATTCAGACTGACCTGAGAGACCATTCTTCCACCCCAAATACATATCAGAAACTGCTGTAGAAAGTGCTTGTCATGTGCTGGGAAAATAGGACTACGGAGCTATCAACAGCCAAGGGAGAGAACTGACCTCAAAGCTTTCTGATAGGCAACACTTTTGTTGAAATCAGATGGTCCTGATAGAAATCATTGTGAATTATTTACTAATTAGGTCTCTTTGCTGCTCTGACATTATCTTGATATACCAGAGCCCCAATTCTCCTTGTGGTGGCAATTTCCTATGCTGACACCTCCCTCCTACACACCTCATTGCATGCATACCCCCAAACCTGCTCTTCAAATATCCAGGCAGCCAAGTTCCCTTGTTTAATCCTAGAACACAGAATAGTTTGGGTTGGAAGGGATCTTTAAAGTCATCTACTCCGACCCCTTCAAAGTGGGATGAAGATGTAATTGCACCACAGTAAAAACCACTCAAGCTAAAGCTCTTCCTTTGTGTTTTGTCTAGACCAGAGAAGATAACCAAGAACAGGGAGGAAAAGGCAGAAGAAGGAAGGAACTAAGAAGCTTCCTCTTCTCCTCTATGTTCCTCTTTGCACTTTCCAGTGTTTTTATTCCATTTTCTACAGCAAAGAACAGAACAAACCAAAACCAACAACAACAACAAAAAAAACCCCAACAAAAACAAAAACAAAAAACCATAAACAACAACAACAAAGAAAAACAAAAACAAACAAAAAAAACCCCACCCAAAACTAAACCAAAAAATACACAAACCCCCAAACAAACAGACAACACTCCCCCCCAAATGTATATGAATATTCATGTGAACTCAATGTTTCCCCAAGGAAGAAAACTCCTGCAGTAAGCACAGCTTATGTGAACTTCACCTTATACCTTCAAACCTTCATACACAGCTGTTTATATTTTTCACTGTGATAGATCTTTCATAGCACTGATTATTCTCCCATTCAAGGTCGTTTTTTCCTTCATGCTTTTAATCTTTATCTGTAGATACAGAGATAAGCCTTTGATCACCTGGTTTTATCAAGTCTTTGCTTTTGAATATGAGCCTCTGAATTTCACAGATGCTGCCATTACTTTGATCTGACCAATAATTTGAAACCCACAGGTTTCAGGTGGGAACGACATTTTATGACTGGAAGTAATTGAGGCTTAGAAGAGGATTACATACCATGTCAACTTCAGAAATACTGTCCAAGCTTTCAACTTGCACATCCACCCCAACAGGAATTGCAGGGCCTGAAAGAGAAGGAGATTTAGATATCCAAATAACTGGTCTTTCATATCATCTGCATTTAATTAGCACTATACAGTGCAAAACATTTCTGAACTTATGTTACACATTTCTGTCAATGGCTCTTCATGAGGGGGCTGGGGTAAGAGTCAGTGAATAACCATGTAAGGCCCCTTTTGAAACACTGATTATCTTCTCCTTGGCATATACTGCAATGTTGACACTGCCCAGCTAATCCAGAGCTCGGATGAAACATTTGCATACATTTTTAAAAACTGAGCCATCCCATCTTAAATTTTAGGCTTTTATGAACAAATTTAGCCCCAAGAAGAGGGGACTGAGATGAAGAAATGGCAAGCAACGAACACTTCCTTGAAGGTTTCTCATTTTTTACCAAAAAGACAAGCTATACTAATCTCTCAAGAGCCCATCACCATTCATATGACTCACTGATGATGTTACTAGTTTTCCACAGCACTTTCAAAATTAGCAACCAAAGAATTCACGAAGAGTAAATAAGCAGAAAATGTCCCACAACAAATGCACACTCTTCTATTATTAGAAACCTTATATCAAAACTTCACTGTAGGCTGCTGCTCATTAATGATCAGGACCTGGTGAGGTTACTCGTCACCATAGTGTGCCCTCATGCAGCTTTTTCCCATTTCTTGTGGTAAGTGCCGACAGAGATCTGCACACCAAGCGCAGTCCACCAGGGCAGGTTAACAGGAACTGCTGAGGAACAGTCCAGGTGGATCCACTGCCACCTTGTGCTGTCAGTGTGTGGCACTCAGGGCTCACACTGATGAGCTGATCCAGCCTATCTCCAGCTTAGGCACTGTCAGTGAGACAGACCCTGCCAAAGGACACAGGAGCTCTGCAGACATGTCTGGGACTTGCACAACAGAAACGAATTTTCCAAGGACCATAGTGGCCTCCATGACAATTTGTGAAGATTTGCGAAGTTTTTCAGCACCCAGATTTTCAATCTGATAAGCAGTCAGATGGTATGTAAGAGGCACCACAATCACTTTGTAGACTCAGACCCACACATAGCAAGGGCTGGCTGTATGCATGTATTTAGCTAGAGTAGCATCTTCCTTGAGACCACAACCAAGGTCTGAATACACCATGAGCCTAACAAGAGTGCAGAAATAGTGTTCTGAGAAAGCAGGGTACTTCTGCAAGCTGCCATCTGTCCTGCTCCAGTACCTGCTGCAGCTTGTACACACTCTCACACATCTTCAGGGCTTTTGAACACAGCCTTAGGTTTGCATCTAAATGGAGGAGAAAGCAGAACAACTCAGTTTCAGTAGGGAAAGGCTAGTCACCATGTCCACGAGACAAGCTGCAACAGGCCCCAGTACAGGTTTGCTAGGGCTTTGATAAGCCAGCTTCACCAAATTACAGTAGAGCATGCTGATGGTGACACTGTCCCCCTTCTGCAGGCACATTTCCAGACTGTTGTGCCCACACCCTCCATCAGTGGTTGTGCTGGGTACAGGCACCCTGAAGGAAGCCCTGTGGGGCAGAACCAGGCTCCTCAGAACCACCAATTCCAATTTAAGTGACTGTTTCCCCAGCAATGAAGCTGAAACTTGGCTAATCCAGCACTCCTAGATGCTCATAAACACTTAACATGTCACATTCAGACACACAGCTGTGCACTTCATACTCTGAAAAAATTGAGAGAAAGAATTTCTGTACGGCATCCCTCCTGCTCAGTAAAACATGTTTTGTTTTGGTTTTTTAAACAAGGTAGCAAAAAGCACTTTATGTATGGTGATAATAAGCATCTGTTTGTAGTCAATTTTTTAGGGTTTTTTGCCTTTTTTGCCTTTTTTTGTTCAGATACCATATCAAAGTCATACAGGGTGAAAAAGAGTCATACATCAAGAAGAGCTTGGGCAGTAATTCAAATACTTACCTATTTGTTTAATGCCTTTAAATACCTAATAGCTCTTCAGTGAGGTCATGTTTGTGACACTTAACTTGGGCCTCTGCTACAGCAAGCCTCAATGCTCAGAGAAAGTCTCTTCAGAAAGACTCCACAGTCCAACACAGCCCATGTCAGGGCAGGCACAAGGATGCCCCCAGCACTGCCTCTGTCTTTTACTGGAGAAAGCATGAGCCATTAATATTACTTATTGTCATATACAGCTGGGGGCACTGCAGTAGTGCCCCAGTGCTTCCAAAAAGCCACGTCATGGTAGCCACAGTGCTAATGGAGAAGACATGGTCTCTGCCAGGATGGCTTCACAGTGCGATGAGGTTGTGCCAGAAGAGGATGGCAGTGGTTGGTTGTGGTACCTCCCACTGCGGTTCCCTGGTGCCGAGGGGCTGTGTGCCCAACACAAGCTGGGCAGTCCCCCACAGCTTCCAGACTGCAAGAGAGACTCTCTGTGTATGAATCCTGAATTTAGCCTTGATTCAGGAAATCAACACCCACCCAAAGTCTGTTTACTGCTGCAATTTCTATGCCTGTCTGAACAATAATCACAGATTAAAAACAAACAAATAAACAACAAACAACTAAAAACCAAACCCACAAACATAAGAACACTGCCAAGTTAGCATATGTCCTGCTGTCCTATTCCTTCCCTATCCACTCTTGAAGATAAAAGACTGTGTCCATATTCTTTTCTTTGTTCATGTTCCTGCATCAAATGCTCAATAACCAGCAAGGACATTGCAAGGACAAGATCTACAGTTCAGTCTGGAGCTGCCATGAAGCTTTATTAAACCCAAAATAAAAGGTATTCCATGTTAAGCCAGATAGTCTGGAAAGCCCTTGAGAGAAGAGGCCCAAGGCAGTGTTAGGTGTCTGGTACATCAGTGAAACTGCTTTTACTTATTTCTTTTCTGCAGTTAATCATGAATTTGAGGGATGATAAAACAGTGATTGTAATAGAGAGAGGGAGAAATCATTTGAACACTGGATTCAAATGTTTAGATCTTAATATAGACAGTATGAAGATGAGATTGTAAAACCAACTTATCAGTGGAAATATTTACTCTGCCTTTCCTGGGCAAACTCTTACTACAGTCAGCAGGAGCAATCACTGCTTTTCCCTTCTCCCTGCTCCTCATTCAGCACGTGAGGCTGAGGCAATAAGAGAGCACACAAATGGGAATGAGGGCACATTGAGACACCTAGACCCTTTGGAGGAGGCTTAGACAAAAAGCTGGGCTGAGCAGGGAAGGGTGGATGAAGGGCCAGTGGGGACAGCCCAAATGTTGCTGCCTGTGAGCTAATGACAGGAATACAGTGATCATCAAGTCCTGCTTCAGGTGATGAGCACAACTGAAGCCCTGTCTAGAAATGCTCTCTTTAAACCACAGAAACAAACCCTGGGTTTCCTTAAAGGTATCTTGGCTACAGCACATACCATTGAATTAAATGGCTGTGGATCAGTCACCAACAATGTCAAGAGATCTTTGCTCTCACTAACCCTTGGAGTCAATTAGGAACTGCTATCTTTTCAATCCTGTCCCTTGGTCAGCTAAACTCTTGAACCACTGAGGCTATAGATGCTTTGCCAAATTCCTTATCAAATTCACTAGGGATGAGCAAAAAGAAAAAAAACCCTCTTTACTGAGAGGGAGCAGAGGATGATGAGGGTGTGGATGTGAGGGGACAAGAATAGCTGAGATGGTATACAACACACTGAACTGGTAGACAGAACAAGTAACTTAGATTACAGCATTAAATGCAGAAAAGCCCTCATCAACCAACTTGTCCTTGTCATAAACAACGTTTTATCAAAATTCACTTTTTCTTCAGAAAAGAGAAACATAGAAGGATCATCTTAGAGAATTATAAGCAGGAAAAGACCTGAATACTGTAACACTGGAGAAATCTCAAAGCTCGAGAATGTTCACTGCTGCACAGGCAGCTAAACAGATCCATGTGAAAGCCGTGGATTTGGATGACTAAAGGAAGCAGTAGTACTTTGCTTGAAGACTGCAGTCCAGCAAAGCTTTTCAGTTCATACTTTATAGTCTCTGAAAAGTATCAGCCAAATTCATGGAATTATTCAAATTAAACAAGTATTTATAGATCAAGGTCTAGAGATAACTTGTATAACCTTCAACTAGAGCATTTCTTCCAGAAACAGCAAAGATGTCAACATTTATTATTCCCCATCACTGTCCACAGAAATATCTTGCAGAACACAAATCCTAATTCAGCAGGACTTATACAACCAGAAAACAAACAGTGGACTCTCAAAGCTTCATAAAAATCACAGGCTTCTGCTTACAACACAGAAATGAACCCACCAATAAACAATTCCCCTTGCACCTCAGACACAGAACAGTGGCAGTTTTCAGGTAAGCTCAAGACACACAATCATTAGCAAATGTGACAATATAAAAATTGAAAATGGAAAATATGAGCTTTCCCTTTTGAAGGAGGTATTTATGTGTTAAGAGAGGATTTAAATGACCTGAAGCACAGACTGAGGCTGATGGGAGTGTTTCTGCTTTCTCCCTTTCTTGGACAGTATCCACTAGCCCCACAATTTCTGCATAGGGTTTACATATAACATGATGGAGCATCCTTGCAGCTTCTCACTGTAAAGGTACTGCCTTCTGAAAATGAATTCACATTTGGAATCCACTCACAGACATACATCATGCCTTATTATTGTAAATTCCTGCACATCACTGTTCTGGCCTCAAATCAAACTGATCTTGAAAAGATACTTAGTAACCAGCCTGTAAAGGTGTTTGTGGTTTCATATATCTTTATTCCTTTGTGGAGTTCACAACCTGGTGTGCAGAGAATCAGTGGCAAGAGCGCTCCCTCATTTCTTTTTCCCCTGCAGTAAATTGCTCTGTTTTGAGACCTACTCTCCAGTGAAAGCCACTGCACATTCAGCTTAGGTGCTGCACATAGAAAAGACCGTGTTCAGAATACCTTTACAAAAAGCTGCCTTGCATCTGCATTCCGTGGTTGTACAAGGAGAACAGATGGACACAAAAAGTCTCCATTTTGGGTGGG